TCACCCCAACGGACGGTAGGATATTGTCGACTTTAACGACTAATGTTTGCAAAACAGTGAGTATTCAAAGCGCGCTAGTATTATCGGTACTTAGAGCGGCCGCGCGAAGCTTTACCGACCGCGGATCACCGGCCCTGTGTGTATGCAACGACACTTAACCGACTCAATTGCCGCTGAAATTTACACGCGATTCTTAATCGTTTCTCGCGTACATTCTTGTTTTCGCAAAGTTCTTCACTTCGTTCCTACATTTTTACTGTACGTATGTGCTCGATTGTTTTCGTATAGGGACTTCGATCGTGTCGCGGTAACATTTCCTAGAAAATTTTATCTTTTTAGGGCAGTATCGTAAATAGCATCTAACACATCTGAAATATTAACGATTGCATACCGACTTTTTTACTGGGTAGACTCTTCGCAAAGGTATGAATATACCGACGCGCGCTTTTAACCACCGAGCACGTAATTGAAATTTTCTTTTTTGTATCATATACATAGATGGGGCATCGATAAGTTGTTAGTAATACAAGTTATCTATACCTGCCGAAAGAATCAACGATTATCGCAAATAATTTCAAAGACGAGCGTGTTAATGTTAACTCTGTTCGCGTCAACAAACTCTATTAAAGATAACAAACAGTCAAATTATTTGATTACTCGATAAAGTGATCGCGATTATATTGTGTGGATGCCTTCCACGAGCAAGTACAACACTGGTTATATCCGATTGTCTTAACGCAAGACAATCGAGAAGATTCTTATCGTTATGTTTCTTATACTAACTGAAACGTATGTTTTACATGTATTTTCTACTTAATTAGGTTCAGTACGTCGTGTTTTTTCCTCAATAACGAATGCGCAGAAAATCATACGGAAAGAAAAAGTTATTTCTTCTTGTCCGCATCGAAGCTTGATAAGTTTAATATTACACATGTCATTTTTATAAATACCACGAAACATTCAACCGTTTCATTCCTTTTAAAAAACATTAATCAGAAGCAGCTGAACAAATAAATTTTAAGTTATCATTTGCCCATCAAATAATACCATACAAATCATTTATTGTACATGCAAATTGTTTTTCTTACAGTTTTCCACGCAATTCTTTAACTACGAGTAGAAAAAAAATTCTTTCTTCCGGATATTCAACGACATGCAATTATTAATTCTGATCTTTCAAGTTGAAAATAAATATACATTTTTCTCTACAATATAAACACCAAGTGTTTGTCGACGAAATTCGCGAAAATGTTTGAATTGAGAAAAACGAAAGGAAAAGTTCGAAGCGTGTTCAATAAATAGACGTGTATTTGCGATATTCTATCTATTCGGATCCACAGATATGCGAAATTCTGTTTTGTATGTAAATGTAAACACACAGACATGTGAAAAACTTGTCTTTAGTTGTCACGTGGATATGCGTGCTTTTAAAAGTTTCGTAAAATTGTCCCCTTCTGTCCCCCTATCCCTTTCCTTCCTGTCTCGACGTTACGTTCAAATCACGTAACGAGAAAAGAACCTGAAATAGATCTCCTACACTTCAAATCTTTCTGGCGGAGCTGCGCATATACTGGGAAACGATTTTCAAAATGCTCGTTTCGCGAGAAAAGCTTGAAAGAAACGAAACAAGAGGGACACTTGCTATTTTTAGATACACTTTTAGGTTAAAATATATCAGTACGAAATTTTGCTGTGCTCATCAACATAGACCAATAATGGTTTCTGCAAATAGTTTTAATAGTGTAAATCTATCCATACTTGCAGTGTAGAGAATGGAAAACAAAGTGCTCAGAGGTACTCATTCAGATAATCTCCTAGAAACTACTTAGTTTCGGAAAGCAAAGGTGACAAACAGACTTGGGGTGTATTTGTTAACCTATTCAGATAAGAAATATCGAATAAAATTCAGATATATTAATCTATAATTAGAGAGTTCATTCACCACTACGTTGGAATGTATTAGATTTAAAATATATACTAAATTTAATCAAGGGAAGTAAAATTTCGATGTACATTTATACACGCGAAATAAACAAATTGCAGCGTATAAAAAGTATTATATTTACATGTTTTATTATTATCATTTTATTCCCACGTGAGCTACAATTCGATTGGATTTTTCAAACGAAAAAGGAAAACAATTCAATCGAATTGTCGCAATTCAGCCTGCTGTTGACCTTCATAAAATAGATTGCGAAGGTGCAGATTTGCTTTAGGTTAACGATGAGAGACACTGACAGCGACAAAAACAGAACATATGGACTTTGGCAGATGTCACCACACGAACTCGTCGTAATTTTGCCATTCCTCTAGCTTCGAGACTGGTCTCTGGGAAAGATCCCAATGAAATTGCATAGCACAACCATAACGCCAACAATAGTCTTATTTCTAGTATTTGACCACCACTGTCGCCACCTTCGCCGCGCGCCACCCGTACATTTATAACCTAATAACAATTCGCGCTGAATATCCAAATTAACCATCTGAGAATGAAACACAAACAAAAATAATGGTACTTTGATGTGCGCCTACGATATGAGATATGTGAATAAACAGCGAGTAAGTTTGATATTTATCGATGAATGAGACATCGATACTGGAGGATTGACAATGCGAAATGTTAAAGAAATCTATATGGTAAACGTAGAAGTACGCAATGACATTTTTATATGATATAATTTCCACTACCAAAACACACATAAACACCTTGGATAATCGTGAAAGTACCTCGTGTATTGTGCATTTACACCGACCCATGAGGAGGGGAGAGAAACTAGAAATGTACTGAGGTGACGTACACAGATTTGCCAGTAGTCATTAGAAGCCATGTCGTAATTTGCCGTTAAACGCATTAGCAGCCGGGCAGAGAAAGTTTTCAGACTAAATTCAACGGACGGAACGAACTGAATTCTCTCTCTCTTCTTGTTCCTATGTATTCTTTCGAGATAACGCAGCTTTGGTTATAACGAGTTGCATATCCTTTTAGCATAGCCGGTGGTTTTCCAGTGTTTCAACCGAAAATGTTTCTCCATCTATACCACGAGGTAAATAAAAACACACCCGGACTCCCCCTCCCTCTATGTGTGTATATATATATATTGATTTTACTTGTGCCGTTACTGTGTAAAAATGCGACGAACGAAAAAATCATTTTCAGTATAAATATTTCTACTAATAATAGCTAACGTATACATGTGACATTTTGATTGACTAAACAGTGTTTATGCCTTTTTGATGAAATATGCAACAGACAATGTGAGAGTTTACCTACTATATAATAGTGCGATGGTTATTTTTATAACGATTATTCACGATTCTTATAAAACTTCACGTTCCAACGGACAACCAGGGTTTATGATTTGTAGTCTAACCTCGTGTTGCAATCACTTAGTAAACACAGCGCAACATGATCGATTTGATCTCGCAATCTATCGACTATCGATCAATTTTTGCTACCGCCTCGCAAGGTAAATCGCTGTTTTATCGAATTATGGTGGCTTCGCTTTTGCGCTCAGTTTCTTGTTTAAAATGCATCGTATCCCGAAACACAGAAAGCATTTACGAAGGACGCAGGTAATAGTGTTCGGTGCGAATGAGATACTAATTACTGAAAGGCCACCATAGGTTCTTGACCGCATTGTATATGTCGTGTGAAAGTATGAGAAACGTAAGCTTCATGGCTTCATTTCGGCTAGCGACGAGAAATTGATACGGTATCGTCAAAGCTGCGCACATCTTTAAAAACAGTAACAGCAGTCCATCGAAACACGCTATTCTTGCAGAATTTACGACAACGGGTTTTTACCATATATTTTTATAAGATTCCCCAATTATCAAGAATATTGAGCAGCCTCTAAGTTATTTTAAAAAAACGTGCCGAACTAGTCTGTACAGTTATGACATAAATGAACACTGTACAAAACAATATACAACATTGCACTAATATATACATATTAAGATTATTTAGGGATTTATATTGTTATATATAACATGAAGTGTATAACAACAAAATGTATTGACGTTGTTAATATTTGATTAACGTTGTTTAATATTTCATGAACGACAATTTCATTAAATTTACCTTAATTTCATTTATAATTATAATAAACCGAAGAACTAATCTCAATGATTGCACATTAAAACACGAGTACGTGTGTTTTTATTGCAAATATACCGCATGAGAGGTTGTGAACTCATCAGTAGACAACACAGGATGTTGGACGGGTTAAATGTAATTTAATTTATACAAACCGAAGGAGACTTTTAATAAAAATGATAGCTCGTAAATCAATAAACCTGGAAAGTCTATACTGAAAAGATAATTATTGTTCGCGATAGCCGCACACGATGTCAGCATTGTTCTCATTGCTAATGACCGACTCGGTTTACAGACTACGTCCAAAGAAATCGAATATGATATAGATACATGATTCTATTTTAAACAGCGAAACTTTACGCACGGCGAATGCGTACTTTAACGACGTTACTGGATAAAAGCCGAGTCTAAAATTGGATTTGTAGTTAAATGCAGTTATAACATTACATAAATGAAAACAAACAGAAGCCTTAGCAATGTGTTAACCTGAAAGCACCGTGCATTATTAAAACGTTAACGGGCTACGAGCAATTCCATTCATTACACAACAATAACTAACAAAACCTCTTAGCAACATCGTATGATTTTTATGAATGGACTTCATCCTGTGTCGTAGTAAGTACATGTTCCATGACTACCAATTGTCAAGAAGTGTAATACTACGGATCGAATTTTAATACGATTATACATGACAATCGGCAACAAAGCATCGTTCGATCGTTTTTTTCAATTTAACACGTGCGAATACGTAATAGTTATAAGTCGAATCAACGCGAGTACCGCCTGGACAGTCAGCCATTTTCGTTGCTTTGTTTACGTAGGAAGTATCGAGTCGCGGTGAACATAAATATGGTGAAGTTCTCGATGTTTGTGATAAAAAAGACGCGGAAAATAATTTCCTTACCTCGAATTGCCAATGTGCCGCCTGCAGCAATTGTTTCGCTTGCTCCCTCGCACAACCTGCAGCCAGCACGAACTGATTGATCATCACCTGCTCACGAAGGGTGTCCATTTTTTTATCACGTTTTATCGAGAGTAGAGAAAATACTGGAAGAAACGAAACCACACGAGACACGACGTACGGCACAGCCTTCCGTGTCACCAGGCTTGAACTCTATCTCAAGTTTTCGTTTAGACACAAGTGCGACCTACGAGCGGCAACCAGACTCTTGTTTTGAAAACTAAACTCATCGCAGATGGGTGATGGGCACCGCGGGTTGCGGAACGTAAGAGACGAGGATGCTGTGACGTCATTAACAGCTATTCGCGAGTGAGCGTGCTGCCTCCCGTGTGTTTGGGAGCATTCTCTTTTCCGTACATACTCCCTTTGCTTATTGTTTATTTTCAAACATAAACAATTCATAAAAATGTAAAGCCAATGAACACTTCAATGTTTATGGATCGTTCCTTTTTTCCTATTGTATCATTGTGTTCTTGCCTGAATATAAAATGTGTTCATATTTTAAATCTTTCAAGTGGGATTTTAATACAGAAATAGATAACATAATTTGATGTTTGATTTGCTGGAAATACCTATTAGGTCACCCACCTCTGTTCGAGAAATATCGTTTTCTTAAGGTGTTAGGTGCCATTTTAGAAATTCTAAGTTTGCAAGCGTGTTTAGTAAGATCAACTTTTATTACTTTTATTCTTAATATTAAATAATACATGTGATGGATATTTGATACAGTGATTGTTATGATTTCAAGTGTATATCTCAAACTACATTTCTTTTGAATTAAAATGAGTATAAAACAGCTGTATATATAAAAAATATAAAAAACTGAATTTGTTATAATTATTATTTACATCTATTGTATGGGCCACACATGATTCCTGTGATCTGCTCAGACCTGTAAAATGTAATTGCGATCCACTGATGGCTTATGTGATAGAGAATGTGTTAAATCATATGTAATTTTAAATTGTACATATATTCTAGAACAGTCATTTTATAAACACAAAATCACTAATTT